GTGCCTCCAGGTTTAACCCTCTGCCCACTGTTCCAACAGGTCTCGTCAACAGCCAGGCCCTATATTTATCTTCGTCTCAAGTGGCCACGGCTGGACCACAGATTACTCCGCCAGCTTCTTCCCTGGAGATGGAGGGGCTGGGGCAGGGCGGGTGGGGTGAGAGGGAGGGTGGGAAGGAAGGGTTGATCGCTCTGAGGGTGCCAGGGGTGGAGGCAGGCAGGACCCACGCTGGCATTCTGCCCTCCATGGGGTCGCTGGCCAACAGCTCCAGGGCCTCTATGCAGGGCTGCTGGTGTGGGACCATTTTGAGCAGCCAGGCGCTGGGAGCGTCTGGCGGGAGGGAGGTGTGGATTAGATGCTCGGGGTCAAGGGCCTGGTCCTAAGGTGATGAATGTCCAAGTCAGGAGAATTAAAGAGTCAGTGGGGGTCTGGCTGAAAATGGACAACCTCTCTCTGGTCACGAGGAAACGTCTGACAAAGACAAAATGAGGAACTTTAACTAAAAAGAAAAACGGGTCTTCCTCTTTCCGAAAGCGGCCCGAGATGACTCCTGAAAATGGTTCGCTCTCCACCAGACCCAGAAAACCCCACAGAATCATGCAAACCAAGAGGCTCAAATCTCTGTGTTCCCTTTAAGAACACCTGTGAAACGGCCCAGGCCAGTGGTCGGCAAACTCATTAGTCAACAGAGCCTAATATCAACAGTACAACGATTGAAATTTCTTTTGAGAGCCAAATTTTTTAAACTTAAACTATATAGGTAGGTACATTGTTATTAACTTAATTAGGGTACTGCTAAGGCTTAGGAAGAGCCACACTCAAGGGGCCAAAAAGCCGCATGTGGCTCGAGAGCCGCAGTTTGCCGACCACGGCCCCAGGCCATCGAGGATGTGCGTCGCCGAAAAGCCACCATGTATCCGAAGGAGGTCACCTTACAGAAGAGGTGGGTGCCACTCCGTCGTTACCATGGTGGAGCTGGCAGTGTGCCCAGGCCAGGCAGTGGGTGCCACTCCATCGTTACCATGGTGGAGCTGGCAGTGTGCCCAGGCCAGGCAGTGGGGCCGGACAGCGTCGGGGGCCCCAAAAGAGAGCTGAATTTTCGCTGCACATGCTTCAGAGCGCGGACTGAGGGGTTTCGAGGTAGACTCTCTGGTCTCTGAGCACATCCAGGTGAACAAAGCTCCCAAGATGCAGCACAGAACCTTACAGAGCTCCTGGGCAGGTTAACCCCGACAAGAGCCCTCCCCGGCACATGGCGGTGATCCTACTGAAAAGGGAAGACGGTTCCTGAACCAGCAGAGGAGGCGGCACAGGAGGAAAAACATCCCAGAAGAAACTAAAGAAACGGAAACGTATGGCCCAGGAGTAAATTCAACATAAATACTAAAAAAAGTTAAAAAAAAAAGGTGGGGGATGGGGAAGGACACTTCTATTCCTTAAAAATACCAGCGTCATCCAGGACGAAGAAGGGCTGTGGAGACATCCCCATGACAAAGACTAAACATGATGCGCGACCCTGGGTGCTGAGCTGGGGGAGGAAATGCTAACGAGGACCTTGGCGGCTCAAGCGCCAACCAGGAATACAGATGGCGGCTCAGCTAAAAATAGCGTCAATGCAAATCTGCAACGCGGACAGCTTCGCTGTGGTTACGTGGGAGAATTTCCCTATTCTTAGAAACGTACTTAGGGGTAAACAGCCAAGAAGTCTGTGACTTACTCTCAGGCGATTCAGAAAGAAAATGAAATGTGCACAGAGATAGCATAAATGACACAGCAAACGGGACAGTACCCATCCCCGGAGGATATGTGGATATTTCCACGGGAATGTACTCTTGTTGACGTTTCTGAAGTCTGACATTATTTCCAAATGAGAGATTTTTAAAAAGCCAAAAGATTTCGCAGCAGAACTGGTTCTTTCACACAGAATCCCCACGTGGAACCCCACGTGTGAAACAGGGATGGGCAGGATGACCCGGGTGAAGCCAGGGTGGGCCCCACTTGCCTGTGCCCCTTTGGGGGCCCCGGGGGGTGCCTCCTGGAACCCAGTTTGGAAACCACTGAGCGGGTTCAGCCTCCACGTTCTGGGGAACACGGTGAGGAGGCAGCCATTCCTGCATCCTCACGTCCATCGGACACACATACACATACTTGGTTGCATCTGATCCCCAAAATAGCACTGAAAGCGACGTCCTCAGTCCCACTTTTAAGTGAGAAGATCAAGATGCTGGAAGGTAAGTACCTCCTTGGGGTCAAGCCATCCAGGTGTTTTCTATATGCTCTCCTGCCTTCTGCACCAAAGCTGGGGTTCAAACCCAGGCCCGTGAATGAACCCCAAAGACCCTGCTCTTAGCAGAACCTGCTTGCTCCCAGGGGAAGGGGCAGCCTCGGTCTGCTCAGGGCAGGGGTGAGACTGGGAGCTGCAGGACTCGCTGTCCAGTGCTCACCCAGGACCCACCTGGTCCTGGCGGGGAGTCTTTCCATGGAGCCAGGCCCCCGGCATGAATAGGCTCAGAGACTCCCACTGGGGCTGGCTTCTGGCTCAGGGGAGCTCCCAGCCTCTCTTCGTGAGGGCGGGGGACTCTGAGCGCCCCGCTGCTCTGCTCTCCCACACGCTGTGCCAGGCAGGCCTTTCCTTTCTTTCTTCTCTCAAAAGCAGCCATTCCTCCCCATGCCCTGCTCTCTGGTTTTCACTGAGCGAATTCACTGTCAGTGAAGTCACTGTGTTTGAAGTTAGTCGAGAGATTGTGTGTTTGAAAGAATTCCAGGACGCCCAAGCTTTCTGAGTGAACTGGGACTCGCTGAGAATAGAATTGCCCTTTTCAGGCCCAAAGCTGTCGCTCTGACAGTCTAGGCCAGGGTTCCTCAAACTACGGCCCACGGGCCACATGCAAATACAAATATTGTATTTGTTCCCGTTTTTTTTTTTTCACTTCAAAATAAGATATGTGCAGTGTGCATAGGAATTTGTTCATAGTTTTTTTTAAACTATAGTCCGGCCCTCCAACCGTCTGAGGGACAGTGAACTGGCCCCCTGTTTAAAAAGTTTGAGGACCCCTGGTCTAGGCCCTGACTTTGCCATGAGCCCCAGCATGGCCCGGGGGGAGGGGGGGGAGATTCTCCAGATTAGAAGTTCCAAAGGGAAGGTCTCTGAAGGGAGCTTTTCTAGAGTGAGTGGACCATGCTCCACCCCCAGTCACATACGGACCATGTTCTCTGTGGGCCTTTGGCCAGACTGGCCTGCCCTCCTCCCAGGGAGAAGGGGAGAATCCCTCCCCTGAAATCGCCACCGTTGGCTGGGCCTGCTGGGAGCTATGCTCGGAGGTCCACACTGAACATCTGCTGTTTCTGCATCACCAGGGAACGAGTGTGGCTTCTGAGGCCTCAGGAGTCGAGGTTCCCCTCTTTGTAAAACGGCTTCCCCAGGTGAGGAAACGGGCCTTAAAGGGTTAACTCGTTCAAGGTCACACAGGCCTAAGTGATATCAGGAATTTGCCCCCAAGTCTCTGCGGCTACAGAGTGACAGTCCTTCTACTCCCCATGGCCATGCTGTGACGGACGGTTACCCAGGCTGCTTGCTGCACAGGGCATCCGCTGACGGGGTGACTGGGGGACCAGGTCCAGCCGGCGCCTGCGCACTAAGGTGCGCTCCCTGCTGCGGACCCTGTGCTTCTCCCCTGTAGGGGTGCCGTGAGAAACCGGTTATAAATGGCCCACTGACTCCCTTCCCCACATCTGCACCCCTTGAGGCTCCTGACTTTGCAGCTCTTCCCATCAAGAAGGGCTGGGCTGGCCTTGTGACGAAACACCTGGATGAAATATTTCCGAGTGGCATCATGCCAGTCCAAGCTCAGGCCCTGAGAGCCTCATAGGCTTTGCTTGTTCTCTTGGACCGCATATTGCCATGGGCACAAGCCCAGGCTAACCTGCCGGAGCATGAGAAATGTGTGGCCCAGTCACTCCCGTGCCAGACCAGCCAATCAACCACCCAGCATCTGAGCAAGGCCATCCTAGACCAGCCAGCCTCCAAACAACCTCTCTGATCACAGACCCAGCAGCCAGCCCAGCCACGCTCAGCCCATCAGACCAGATCAGTATAACTGCTCCGATAAGTGAACAAGAATACATGCTAACTGATTCAGGTGGCCGCTATGGGGTGAATTGTGTCCCCCAAAACTCATACGATGACATCTTTTTTTTCCCATGAGCCCTGACCGAGGCTGGGGATCGAGCCTACAACCAAGGTACGTGCCCTTGACCAGAATTGAACCCGAGACTCTTCATTCCGAGGGCCAATGCTCTATCCACGGAGCCAAACTGGCCAGGGCCCTGTGTTGACATCATAACCCTCAGTCCCTCAGAATGTGACCTGCCTTGGGAATGGGGTTGTTGCAGATGGAATTAGTTAAGATGAGGTCGTACTGCAGTAGGGTGGGTCCCCAATCCAATATGACCGATGGGGACATTTGGACACAGACATGCTCACAGGCGAAATGCCATGTGAAGATGGGAGTGATGCTGCCACAAGCCAAGAACTAGCAGAGGCTGGGAGCAAGGCCTGGAACACAGCCTTCCCTAGAGCCTTCGCAGGGAACATGGCCCTGCGGACACCTGGGCCTCAAACTTCCTGCCTCTAGAACTGCGGGGGAATAAACTTCTGTTGCTGCAGTCATCCAGCTTGTGGTACTTTATCACAGCAGCCCTAGGAAGCTAATACAGCACCTTTTCGTAATTCACACAAAGGCACAGCCTGGGCTGGCCTCCCGGCCTGCCTCCAGCCGACCGTGGCCCTCCTCCTGGTACCCAGGCAACCCTGCAAGGTGCTTAGGAACTGCACCCCCACCATGCCCAGTTCTGCCCCAGCAGGCCTCTGAGTCGGTAAAGGCTCCTCTAGTGCCTTCCAGAGGCACTGGAGGCCTTGGTGGGGGAGGAGTCGCAGACCCACACAATATTGCAGGCCCTGGAGCCCCAGCCCAGGCCCCGTTGGCCGGCCGGCCGCCTACCTGGGTTGCCGAGGGCCATGGAGTCGTAGATGAGCTTGCAGGTCTTGAGCAGGATGGAGATCTTCTTCTCGGGCGAGTAGGCCTTGTGCATGCTGCTGAACTTCTGCAGGATCTTCTCCATGATGGGCACCTCGGGCACGCTGGTGGTCACGCCCAGGTCGGTGGTGGTGGTGGCCAGGATCACCAGCTGGTTCTCCTTGAGCTGCTGCAGGGAGCCGTCCTTGCTGTGGATCTCATGAAGGCACGAGTTGATGGCTTCTTTCAGGGGCTTCAGCACACACTTGTACAGGGCGGACTCCACAATCGCTTCTGTGGGTGGGAGAGAGTAGTAGGGTGAGGACCCCAGTGGCAGGGATCCTGGCCCCGGGCCTTGTCGCCCAACAGTGTGGCCAGGCCCATCTTCTGATCCCGGGAAAAACATACTCACAGCCCCAGCAGGTACAACCGCCGTTCCGACACAGGAGACCGTGAAGTGCACGCCACAGAAAGCCACACGCGGAGCCCTCCGACTGATACACTGCATCCTAATGCCTTTCACAGGGCCCGGCACAGATTAAACTCCCACAGGGCTGCCCACAGTACACAGCTTTGGAGGGCACTGCTCACACGGGAGTTGTGCAGTGTACAACCTGTGTAGCTGTGTTGGAGGTCCCAGGTACCCAGCAAATGCTCGGTGGACTTATTCTTGATTCTCTCTTTCAATCCCCAAGTCCACTTGTCTTCAGTCTCAAGAATCTAGTATATCCAGAACCTGATTTCTCACCACCTCCAACGTTTGACCTTGACCTGAGCTACCATCATCTGTTGCCTGAGTTACGCTGGTAGCCTCTTGCTCTGGCCCCTTACAGTCCATTCTCAACACAGAAGCCAGCGTCATCCCGTTATGGCATGATTGACCATGACATTACTGTGCTGAGAACCCTCCAACGGCTCCATCTCATGGACAATACAAACCACAGCCTTCCCTGTGCCTTTCAAGGCCCCTGAGTGATGTGTCCCCTTGTGCTGCTCTGCCACCTGCCATGCCTGCTCCTGCCTCAGAGCCTTTCACCTGCTATTCCTTTTGCGTGGAGAAGTCACTCCACATGGCTTATTCCTTCACTGCCCAAATGTCATCTTATCCAAGGGGCACCCTGATCATCTAGTACAGCGGTTCTCAACCTGTGGGTCGAGACCCCTTTGGCGGTCGAACGACCCTTTCACAGGGGTTGCCTAAGACCATCCTGCGTATCAGATATTTACATGACGATTCATCACAGTAGCAACATTACAGTTATGAAGTAGCAACGAAAATAATTTTATGGTTGGGTCACAACATGAGGAACTGTAGTTAAAGGGCTAGAAGGTTGAGAACCACTGATCCAGCAGAATGGGAGCCAGCCAGGTTTTCTCTCACAGCAGCTCTGCAACCCACCTGCCATTATCCCCACTCTACAGACGGACCAACTCAGGCTCTGGTGGTGTGGGCCACACAGCTCCCTGGGGGCTGACCAAAGATCTGAACCCATGTCTACCTGACACCAGGCCCATGCCCAGCTGCCCTGGGTGACCGTAGAGAAATATTCTTGGGAAGTCTTTTTGGCTTTACCCTTTCCCCAGGGGAAGGGTCTCAGCTATTGTTTCCTCATCGGCAAAATGAGAGAGGGCTTCGGCCCAGCCCTCCGGGTTCCTTCATCCCCGAGAGCCACCACATCCCCTGCAGAGACCGCCTCTGTCCCTCAGCAGTCACAGGTCAGTACTCCTTTGGCCTCTAATTGCTCCTTGTGACCGTCCCCCTAATAAAACCAGGAGCATCCTGAGGGTGGGGTCCTGCCCAGCCTCTGATGTGGGCGCATGAGCAGAGCTGGGAAGCACAAGGCAGAACAGCAGAGGGATTAGTTCAGTTAGTTCGGGAGGAGGGGGGTGGGGACGGTGGATTATCTGGGATGACCCCTCCCTCCCGCCCACTCCCAGCCCCCGCCCGGACTGACCCAGCTCCTCCTCGGAGTACTGCGTGTGGTCCCCCAGCGCCTTGAGCTCGGTGCTCTGCAGCAGGTAGCTCTTGAGCTGGGTCATCATGGTGCGGATTTCCTGCAGCATCTCGGTGCTGGAGGCCTGGCGCGCCATCATCTCCAGGCTGTACACTTTGTAGTCCTGCACCAGGTTGCCAAAGTACGAGGCCTTGTCCTGGGCCAGCTCCACCACCTTCTTGTACAGCTTGCGGTCATTGGAGAGGAAGGCCTGGAAGACGCTGGTGAAGCTCGCGAGGCTCAGGCGGTGCCGCGCCTTGCCCAGGATCATGGACGGCTTCTTCTTCACGTTGGGGCTGCTGAACTGCTCCAGCTCCTCCTCCGTGCTGCTGGTCGAGTATGAGTCTTGATCGGTGGCCGGGGTGTGGACCCCCGTACTGTCTGAGAGGGAGGCCAGGGAGCCTTTGAACTCTGGGGCGCTCTGGCGCCAGGCGCTGGCCTGGGCTTCTGGGCTCGGGGTCCCAGCTTGGGAGGCAGGGCGCGGGGCTTCTTCGTGTGGGCCAGGGGTGGGTTTCTCAGGGGCTGCCCCCTCCATGGAGAGCTCAGCGCTCTCCAAGGGGCTCGGGAGGACGGAGGCCAGTTGCCGGGAAATCCGCTTCTTCCTAGGAGGAGGGACTGGGGGTTGCCGGATCTTCCTTGCCGACTCTGGCAGGATGCCCAGCTGGCTGGCTTGGGCCACTACTTCCTGTCCTTGCTCTGTGGTCCTCTGAGGCCTGTCCCCAGGGCTGTCTGAGGTCCCCTGGGGAGGCAGGCCGAGTGGGGGTGTCCGGGAAAGACCCGGCTGGTCCCACTGTGCGGTTGTGCCCCTGTCCATCTTCTCCACAATCGGGTCCTCCAGGGAGAGCTTCTCAGAGAGGCGGCGTCGGGGAGGAGCAGCAGGGGCGCCCTTCTTCCCTGGGCCTGGCGGGGCGGGGGCCTGCTGCAAGGGGCTGGGGGCCGCCCCTGGCTTCATCTCTTCCTCCCTGAGGGGGCCCAGGCCTGTGGGGGTGCATGGGGGCCTCTCACAGGCTGTCATGGGTCGCTGGCTTGGATGGTCCGGGGGGCCTAGGGCATGGGGTGCCAGGTGGGGGACAGATGCTGGGGATGCAGGAGGAAGGGCGTCTGGAGGTGAGGGAGAACTGGGCAAAGGACAGGCCGGAGCTGGGGCCGGGGGTGGACGAGGCCGGGCAGGACTGAGGGGGTGGAGAGGAGGTGCTGGGGGCGGGGGCGCCGGGCGGCGAGGGGCCCACCGGGAGGCGGGTGAGGTAGCGTCAGAGGTGGGAGGCAACGGGCCAGAGGGGCAGCTTCTCAGGGGTGACAGGTCAGCAGGCAGGGCGCTGCCACAGTCCTCGATGAAGATCGGATTCACAAACCACAGGCGGTCATTTCCTACCGAGAGCTCAATTTCACACGCGCAGTTTTCCTGATGGGAGGCGGACCTGAGGCTGGAGGCTGGGGGCGCCCTGGGGGCTGGGTCTCTTGGGGGTTCTGCTGGGCTGCCAGCTGCTCGCCGGGGGTTCAGCGAGGAGTCCCAGAAGCCTGTGGAAACAAGAGGAGAAGAGGCGGTCAGTCCTGGAGCCGGGCCCCTGGGTGGGGTGGGGTGGGGTGTGGACGGGGCACGGGAGGGCTGGGAGGGCCGTACCGTGTTTGCTTCTCTGCTCCCTGGGTTGTTTTCCCCTCTCGGACTGTTTCAAACCTCTCCCACCACTTCCTGCCTCGAGAGGGGAAGCCCCGCGAGATCCTCCCCTGCGGTGCTGGGGTGGGGCCAGGCGCCCTGTGACAGGGGCAGCGTCAGCTCCGTCCCTGGCGTGGGAGGGCCCACCATGGAGGGCACCGTGACCCCGGTGCAGGCCGTGTGGGGACGGAGGGGCCCACAGCCAGAGTTCCTGCAGCTGGCGGGCCGGGGACTCCGGGGCAGGTGGCTGGATCTTTCTAGGCCCCCGTCTAGTCACCTCTAGAATGGGGGTGGCTGCGTGGGGCCTGTTCCACGTGGGGAGAACACACCTATGGACTGTGGCTGGTGAGCTCAGGCCTGACCTTCCAAGTGGGGAGCACCTGCCACTGCAGAACGACTGGTCTGGTCAGCCTTGATGTTCACTAGGAAGCGGCCCATCCCCCCGTGGGAGGGTGTCAGCAAACGGGGCTCCCGCCCTGCTGGGTGGCGTTCCGGCCCGTGCCTTTCTCCTGACCTAGCCCTCAGGACGCAGCCCACGGCGGTGGTCACTAGGGCACACCTGTCCCTATCCGGGCGTAGCTGGTCAGCGCCAGGCGTGTTCTGGGGAGGAGTGTGGGACCTCCAAACTGAAGAGCATTGGGGGTCACCGAGCTCAGAGTTCTTGACTTCTGGGTCCCAAGCCCCGTGGAGACTCTGACGAAAGCTCCGACCCTCCACGAAGGGCAGAGGCACGTGACTGAGAACAATGCAGTCGGCCTGCAGCCACTGTGAGCCCCAGGCAGCTCCTCCTGGACCAGGGGGCCCAGGTCTGGTTCTACCTGTTAATGTTAGAGATTCAGAGTGCAAACTCCCTTGTTAAAGATGGGCCAGGCCTCTGGATGCTCCCCTGGAGCCCCTTACTTCTGGGAACGATTCATCAGGAAGAAAACCACCCAAAATAACATCCAGCACAGTCATAGGGCACACCACCCTGAGTCCTGGCGGTGAGGGCCACTGGCTCTACCAGGATCCTCTCTCACCGATCCTGATCCCAGGCCTTCGGTGTAAGTCCTGATCCATCCCGCATTACACATGAGGAGAAGAGACCCAGAGAGAGTCAAGAACCCGCCCACAGCCAGCCGGGCTGGTGTGGCTCAGTGGTTGAGCGTCGACCTATGAACCAGGAGGGCACAGTTCGATTCCTGGTCAGGGCACATGCCTGGGTTGCAGCTCGATCCCCAGTGTGGGGCATGCAGGAGGCAGCCGACCAATGATTCTCTCTCATCATTAATGTTTCTATCTCTCTCTCCCTCTCCCTTTCTCTCTGAAATCAATAAAAATATATTTAGAAAAAAAAGAACCAGCCACGGTCACTGGGCTGGTGAGCGAAGGAGCTGGGGTGCGGGGCAGGTCTGCAGGTCTGAGGCCTGTGAGCCCGGCTGCTGTGCTGTGTGGCCTCCCTTCTTGGGAACTTGCGACACTTCCCATCTCAGCTGCTCGGCCAGCGTGAGTGAGGGGTGGCGTGCACCTCAGAACTGGGGATGTGGTAAGCAACCGACGGGCTCCTGACACCGAAAGAAAGTGGGTATCACACAAAGGCTGAGGGCAGTGCGTGTGCCTGAGATGGGCACTCCCAGGGACGCAGGGGTTTGCCCCCTTGCTGGCCAGGGGACCGCAAACCCCGTCCAGGTGAGCAGGGTGCAACCTTAGGACAAGGCGGCTGCTGAGAAATGGACACGTGAGCCTGTGCATTCCCTCTGAGGCGTGGCCGTGACCGGGAGGACCCCGGGCCTCAGGGTTCAGCTCCGTCCTGGGCAGAGACCCCGTGTCTGGAAGCCTGAGTGCTGTGGCCAGCTGTCTCCACGGTAGCAAGGGTGACAAGCCTTCGTGGGACTCTGTCCAATTTGCAAAACTCTGTGCACATCACAGCCACTATCTGAGGACAGAGTGCTGGGAGGGAGGAGGCGTCTCTGGGGCGCGCCCCGCCCCCCCCCCCACCACCTAGGCGAGCTGTTCTTCACGGCTGCCTAGGCCTTTGCACGTAACGTTGGGAGGCAGCTCCTGACACCTCCATGACTCACCCACTCTCCTGGGTGCCTGGCACCGAGCACACAGCAATTCTTGTCTCGGGGAGTGAGCAGTGGAAGACCGTGCCCTGTCTGCACAGCCCCAGCAAAGCTGCCTCCTTGGAAGTTTTCCTGGGCAGGCAGCCAGCCTGACTCAGAGGTGAACTGGACAGCAGCCCCCCTACGTGAGTGGAGGCCCCTGATGCTCACCTCCAAGCTCCCATAAGCCCCTCCTTTGGGTGAAGGTGGATGCCATGGGGCAGACCATAAACAGAACTGCCCACCCATGCCTGGGCACCCCCATTATTTCTCACCTAGATCATGGCCATAGTCTGCCCTCCCCTCCCCGCGCCAAACCCATTCTCCCCCTGTGGCACTATGCTGGGCATATAGTAGGCTGTTTGTTCAGAATCACTGCCAGCCCTTTAGCCTGGCACTCAAGGCCTGTGGGATCTGAATCTGTACACCTTTTTTTTTAAAATACATTTTTATTGATTTTTAGAGAGAGAGGAAGTGAGAGAAATAGAGAGATAAAAACATCGAGAGAAACATCACCGGTCAGCTGCCTACTGGGGATCAAGCCCGCAACCCGGGCATGTGCCCTGACTGGGAATCGAACCAGTGACCTCTTGGTTCATGGGTTAATGCCCAACCATCGAGCCACACTGGCTGGGCTTTGTACACCTTTTCCAGCACCACCGGCTGAGTCTTCACCCCATTCTCTGCCACTTCTTCCTGGGCTGCCCCACCTTCAGTCTTGGCTGATGCTGTTCACTCTGCTTGGATGCTTTTCCCACCCTCTCCACCTGGGCAACTCTCCCTCATCCCTCAAGACTGGGGTCAAAGCTCTGTGCCAACGGCTGTGATGTGCACAGAGCTTTGCAAACTGGCTCCCTGTTGGGTGAAGTCATCCTGACCCATCGGGGCCTCCCCTACACTCTCCGTGCTCCCAGCCTTGGCACACACTCTGACTGAAGTGGCCATCACTGGGCTGTATTCTCTGATTTTGTCAGACTGCCCCCGCACCCCCCGACTCTGAGCTTCCAGAAGGCAGCCACAATGTTTCATCCATCTGAGTATTTCCAGCACCTAAGATGGTGCTTGGCACAGAGCAGGAGCTCAGCCCTTTAGCTTGCACAGTGGAATAGCTTAGCCAGAGGGGAGAGAGGGGCTCTGAGGTGTGGGATACAGGCAAGGTAAGTTCTGATGGGGGAGCGGGGATGACCTGAACCATAGGAAGATGTCTTAAGGCAAGAGAATGAAGAGACGAGAAAACGAGAGGAGGGAGGCACCGAAGAGGGCCATGGAGCTCCACAGGTGGGGCGGCCAACAGCTGGGCGGCCTGTCTCAGGAGAGCAAGGTGGGTCCATCCTGCACAGATTAAAAAAACAAAACGACACACGTTTCCTACAGCCCGGATTTGGGTTCTGGAAGGCATGGAGCAAACATTGGGGTTCAGGGAAATGGGCCCAGAGCCTGGGGGACTAGGCACTGCTCCCCTGCTCCTAAGACAGCCTGCTGGCCGCACCCCGGCAGGGCAGAGCCAAGGCCACTCTGAGGGGTGGGGGGAGCTGAGACCTGAGGGGCAGCCGTTTGGGGGCTGGATGCCTGTTAAGGAATTGCAGTGGCAGTGCAGGGTTTTATGATAAAAAAAAAAAGGAAGTGGGTCACTTTCTTTGCAGCCTGCAGAACATCGAGGCCAGAGGAAAAGCGGAACACTGGCCTGCAAGTTAGTGGTTGGCAAAGCTGTGGCATCTGCGTCTAGTGGCAAAATGCCAGGCCTTGGCTCAGGGCCCTGCCTCCACTGCCTCTGTGCTGCCCTTGGACTGAGGGACGTTTTGCTGGCCCTTGGCCTCCCCCGCCTTATATGGACATACCTCTTGCCAGGTGTCCGCTCCTATAATCCTTGGGGGCGGGGGAGGGGGGCCAGGGCCAGGCCAGGTGCTGGGCTGTAGGCCCTGGGGGCAAAGGTGACGAAGGTTTCCCTCTTGGGGAGCCCGGGCTAGTGGCAGGGCAGAGAGGGCATGAGTAAACACAATGAAGTATTCCAGATGCCAGGGAAGCCGCTCCAAAGTCCAGGGGTTCAGAGAAGAAATATTTCCGTGGCGTCCCAATCCCAATGACGGGCGGTTGGACAGTCATTCCAACTTGAGTGTTCAATGAGTTTTCAATAACTAGGAAAATTCTCATTTGTGATATAAAGGAAAAAGCAAGTTCCATGCCAACCCGGAAGAGCTACAGAACCTACGCCTTTTCTAAACATATTTTAAACCTATGAAACATACCGCAGACAAGTCAGAGAACGCCGACAGGTCTAACCCGTAGTTACCACCGCTTTCTCTAGATTCCTTTGCACTTAGGGTCAGCCGCATACAGGTAAGTGCTAAATTGCTCCCCGTGTTAGTTGTGTAGCCTCAAGATTATTCCTCTACCGCCTGGCCTGCCCTTTCACCGGTGGCTTTTCCAAGCCCAAACTCAGAGTTTCTTACGTCAGCTCACGGGCAAGTGTCCTGGGCTATTGTGTGGTGCTGAGCCTGCAAACCAATAGCTCCCTTTCAAGCAAACAAACAGCATCACCCGCGCCTGAACAGCAGGGCTTGTGCAACTGTTTGGATATTTATTACCTTCCCCTCATTGCGTGAAAAGTGAGTAGAAGGCCAGAAAAAGAACACTGCTCACCCCAGGGATGGGAGACACACGCGCCTCATGAACTAATTCCACGCAGAGCGGCGTGGCCACTGCGGAAAACAATATGCAGGATCCTCACAAAATTAAAAACGGAACTGACCCAGAGGACCCACTTCGGGAATATCTCAGAAGAAACCCACGACACGAATTGGAAAGAATATACGCACCCTTATGTTCACTGCAACATTATTTACAACAGCCAATATTTGGAAGCAACCCAAGTGCCCATCAATAGACGGACGAGCAGATCAAGAAGTTTTGGTACATATACACAATGGAATATCACTCGGTCATAAAAAAGAAATGAAATCTTACCATTTGTGATAGCATGGATGGACCTAGCGCAGTGGTTCTCAACCTTCTGGCCCTTTAAATACAGCTCCTCATGTTGTGACCCAACCATAAAATTATTTTCGTTGTTCCTTCATAACTGTAATGTTGTTGCTGTTATGAATCGTAATGTAAATATCTGATATGCAGGATGGTCTTAGGCGACCCCTGTGAAAGGGTCGTTCGACCGCCAAAGGGGTCGCGACCCACAGGTTGAGAACCGCTGACCTAGAGGGTAGTGTGCTAAGTGAAATAAGTCAGTCAGAGAAAGGCAAACCAACCAAACAAACAAACTTAATAGAAATAGACGCATGGATACAGAGAGAGAACTGGTGGTTGCGGAGGGGAGGGAAGTCGGGTGACTGGGTGAAAGAGGTGAAGGGATTAAAAGGCACAGATTGGCAGTTACAAGATAAGTACCTGCCAAGTCCCGGGGATATAAAATACAGCCTAGGGAAGACAGTCAGTAACACTGTAATAATTGTGCCTGGTGCCTGGTGGGTACTGGAAATATGGGGGGGGGGGTGCTTTGTAAGGTATGGTTGTCTAACCATGACTCTGTGCACCTGGAACTAACACAAAATAATACCGAATGCCAACTGTAATTGAAAAGATAAAAACAACTTATTCCGATTGCAAGTGGGCAGGAACCGGGAGCTGACGGGCGGGATGCTGCGTGTGGGGAGCAGCTGTGCCCGCAGAGCCCGCTGACCGTCTTCGCTGCTGCTGGGGGGTCCCCGTCCCTTCACTGAGTCCTGTCTGAGCTACGCCAGTTGGGCTGGGTTTCAGTTCTCCGCCACAGGAGTGCCTGCCCAGGACAATATGTGAGGGGCCTGTGTGTCCTGGCCCTCGGCAATCGCTGCTCTTTGCACATTTGTTACCACAGAACGCAGGTCAGGGCGGCCCGGCTCAGGCCTGAGCATCTCAGAGCCGAGCCCCGGCCTCTGACCGGGTGTGCCCTTGCAGCTCCGGTCTCCATCCGTGCAGGGGGGTGGACGGAACTCGGGGATGGACGGAACCCGGGAGTGGACGGAACCCGGGGATGAACGGAACCCGGGAATGGACGGAACCCGGGGATGGACAGAACCCGGGAGTGGACGGAACCCGGGGGTGGACGGAACTTGGGGATGGATGGAACTGGTGGTGGACGGAACCCGGGGATGGACAGGACCCAGGGATGAACGGAACCCGGGGATGGACGGGACCCAGGGATGGACAGGACCCGGGGATGGATAGAACCCGGGGATGGACGGAACCCGGGGATGGACGGAACCCGGGAGGGGACGGAACCCGGGGGTGGACAGAACTTGGGGATGGATGGAACTGGTGGTGGACGGAACCCGGGAATGGATAGAACCTGGGATGGACAGAACCCGGGGATGGATGGGACCCAGGGATGGACAGGACCCGGGGATGGACAGAACCTTAGGATGGACAGGACCCGGGGGTGGACGGAGCCCGGGGATGGACGGAACCTGGGATGGACGGAACCTGGGATGGACGGAACCCGGGGATGGACGGGACCCAGGGATGGACAGGACCCGGGGATGGACGGAGCCAGGAAAAGCTATTCTGATGAGCCTCGCTGTACACCCTTCAGCCCTCGGGACACCAGGTCTGATCAGAACCCTCTGCTTCCTCAGCTGCCGAGTCCCCAGGCGTTTCACGTGAATCCCCTTCTCAGGGACGTAAATGCTGACAGACGGGTCTGAACTGCCACGGGCTCCCCAGATGACAACCTCCCTCCCCCACTGCATTGCACCCGCGGTCAAGCTCTCCTTGACAGAAGGGCTTGTCCAGTCCAGAAAGGAGTGTCCCAGGGATGCCCGCCTGAACCTCACGGGGGGCCAAGGGCTGCAGCACAGCACCCCTCCTCTCACAGGTCACCCTCCCGTCTTCCTCCCCTGCCAACTGGCCCCACACTGGCCACTGACTGCTCGTGGAAAGACACCGAGAAGGTCATGAGGGGGGCCGAGGGGCGGTGGAGAGCGGGGCTGGGAGTCGGAAAGCCCTGGGTGCTCATCCCAATTTGTTCATCCCTCCCAGGCCCCCGACACGGCTCTGTGCTAACAGTAGATTTCCTATCTCTACAGGGACACAGGGTTACCCAAGACAGTGCTGAGTGTGTCGCAAGGAGAGTGTCATTCATGCCGCTGCAGACCTCAGGGACTGTGTGAATTTCAAAACTGTCACCCGGTCCACATTCAAACTTCTGGGAGGGTCAGGGGCCAAAACGGCCATGATCTGGGGGTGAGATCAGTATTTATCCCCAATAGCAACTGAGAACTGGCCCTAAGGTTTCTAAACGGGGTACATCAGACCCAGGAGAGTGGGGTGAAGAGTTAGGGGCGGTGCTGCAGCTGAACCGACGGTGTGACGCCGGACACACCGCTCAAGCTCCCGGGCCTCAGTTTCCTCTGCCATGAAGTGGGGGTGACAATCACAGAACCCACTTTCTGGGGCTGCTCGAAGATCTGACGAGTCGGTGCAGGTCAAGAGGTTAGGACGCAGTCAGTGCTCGTTAGAGGTCGACACCCCCCGCCTGGAGGACTCTACTTCCTCATGGGGCCCCTGAGCTTCTTGTGGCGTCACACGCACGGCTGCCCAGAGGCCCCTCTGGATGGCGGGCTGCAGCCTGGCCTGGGAATCGGCGTGCTCTGACCCCACGTGTGCCCCCAACTTCCTCTACGACCGGGTCCTGGCCGCTCGGTCACCGCTGCCCCCAGGGGCCCAGCTCTGGGAACAGGGCGCCGCTCTCTCCAGGCGCCGAGCGCAGCTGCGTGCTGTGCCGTCCTGTGTGTGGCTCAGTCTTGATAAAGGCCCAGTGATTAACTGCTGGTTCACTGATGTGACCAGGTCTCTCTGCCCGGGGGTCCGAGCCCGCAGAGGCGGCTGGGGGCCAGCACAGTGCAGCCCCGTCAGAGCCTCAGCAAAGCCTGGCCCATGGGAAGGGCCTGTAGATGTGAGATCTCACTATTATGGGGGAGGGGTAGGGTCAGAAATTGTCTTTTCTCCTCCTTTCTTCCCTCTCCCCCTTCATCCCCCCAAAGGTCAGAAGGGTAAGGCCCTGCAGGGTCAGTTGGCAGGGGCAGGCCAGATGGGGCACACGCTTGAGTTCACGGTCATGTTCGTGCTGCTCTTCCTCTGACGAGGATGGGGCTGGGACCAGGGCTGTGGCGGCGGCTGGTCCCCCCTCTCTGGCCACCGTTGAGAAGGACCTTGGCATTTGGCTTAGCCTCTCCCAGAGCCACACCTGACCATCGGCGGCCCTGACCAGCCCGGCCCCGCAGGTCCCCTGGGTAGCTGCTAAAAGGCACCTCTATGAAGCCTGGAGGCTCTCCCTGCTGTTGGGCTCAGCAGCCTGGGCAGCGCGGGTCCCATGGGAGCTGGGACTCAGGATCCAGCCTGGGTCTCAGCGGAGGGGTCACCTCTCTGCACAGTGGTCAGCAGGGGCAGTCCTGGGGCCCCGTTTCCTCGAGTCCCCCCCTTCCCCGGCCCTTAGGGCGGACTTACCCAGGCCCAGGTTGGCGATGGTCTTGAGGTCTGTGAAGCTGCTGGCCTCAAGAGAGTGGCCTGCGGCAGCCTCAGCGTGAAGGCAGTAAATCTCTGTGGGGAACAAGAGGGTCAAGGTCATGTCTGGGAGGGACCTGTGTGTCCATTTCCACCCCCACAGCCCCGCACCCGGAGCCCATAGAGGAGAAACCCCAGCAGCCCGCTGGCTGCTGGGGCCGCCACCAGACGGGAAATCCCTGGGGTGGAGGGCACCGCCCCGAGGCTGACGGAGCATCCAGGCAGGTCCCAGGCCCCGGGCCAGCACGATGGACCCTGAGAAGTGGGAGACCCCCCATGGGAGTGGGGAGGGGGCACAGCTTCCCCCACGTTTCCTGCCTGGGAGCCCAGGGAGCTGCCCGGGAAGCCTCTACGCTGAGTAAAGCCAGCGACCCACCCCTCTCTGCCCTCTGACCCTCACTGCTCCACACTGAGAGGGGCAGCGAGCAAGCACACAGTCTGGCTTCTCCAGTGAGCACCCAGACATCCCCCAGTGAGCACACAGTCTGGCTTCTCCAGTGAGCAACCAGACATCCCTCAGTGAGCACACAGTCAGGCTTCTCCAGTGAGCGCACAGTCAGACATCCCCGACAACGCATAGTCAGACAGCTCAATCTGCTGCCTTTGGTCTGAACGGGGAAGGATTCAGGGATTTCCCCAGAGATCTCCTGGCAGGGACTCAGACACTCTCCCCCTTTACTGTGCAGACAGGGAAACTGAGGCCCAGAGAGGAAAAGGAATATGCCCAGGCCATGCAACAGGCTGAAGGCAGAGTGTGCTAAGCCCTGGGCCTCCTGAGTTCTCGCCCAGGGCTGTTTCAAGGGGCCGGAAGGGGAGGGGCCTCAGGATGGACGGTCCCAATTCTACACCTCAGCCTGGCATTCAAGGCCCATCACAGCCTGACCCTGACCCCCCCACTTTCCAGCTCTATCCACCTTCTCCCCAAACCCCAATTCCAACCCTGAGGGTAGGCATTAATACCTTTATGTTAAATAATTAATTTGGCATTGACTCCCCTAGGGGAGCTACTAAAAATGCATATTCCAGATCCACTCCCAGGGGTGCCGAGGGTCAGGTCTGGGGGTGGGCCAGGAGCCCACATTTTTAACAGCTCCTGAGGGGATCCTGATGGACACCGCCTTGGGTGGGAATCACGTCCCCCAAAGCAAGGGGGGGGGCGGCAATAAAAATAAAAGTTAAGTAGCTCTCCTTAGGTATGCATGTCTAGACTGCCTTATCAACTACTAAGACCGCTGAAAAGCATTCACGAAGAGAAAATTTCAAAATGAGATTTTTAGAACAAGTGTCCTAACCTCGCCCCCCACACACTCTGGTGGGTCAGCTTGTGCACCTCCTAGGGCAGTGATGGCGAACCTTTTGAGCTCGGCGTGTCAGCATTTTGAAAAACCCTAACTTAACTCTGGTGCCGTGTCACATATAGAAATTTTTTGATCTTTGCAACCATAGTAAAACAAAGACTTATATTTTTGATATTTATTTTATATATTTAAATGCCATTTAACAAAGAAAAATCAACCAAAAAAATGAGTTCGCGTGTCACCTCTGACACGCCTGTGATAGGTTCGCTATCACTGTCCTAGGGCACCAACGCCCCTCCCTGGAGGCCTCTGTTCTAGCTGATGTTTTTCAAACTTTTTGGATTGTGACTGTCAGCAAGAAACACACCTGGCATCATGGTACAGTGTGTACACATACACACACACCCCTAAAAGAAGTGTAGCATGAGACTTAGTCCAGCCACATGAGACACACTCTGGTATTTTCTAGTCTAGTTTAATTTTTCATTTAAAAAACAGCCAGTCGTGCCCTGGCCGGTGTGGCTCAGTTGGTTGAACTTTGCAGGTCAGGGCACATGCCCAGATTGGGGGCTTGATCCCCAGTAGGGGGCGTGTGGGAGGTGGACAATCAATGTTTCTCACATCGATGTTTCTCTCTCTCTCATCAATAAAAACATATATATTTTTGAAAGAGCCAGTCATGATCCATCAATTGATTTGACGACCCCTCTGGGTGTCTTCTGACATCACCAACCAATCCACCAACACTAGGGGGGGTGTCCCTCAAGGTAATGCAGTTCTGACAGTACCTGCCTGGAGTTAGTGCAGACCCCACAGGTTAAGGACACGGTCCCCCCACTCTGCCCCCCGTCTGGGTGCCCTCTGCGAATCCCAGGCCACCTGGACTTCCGACCGGCTAGAAACCAGGGGCTCCCGTGACCCCGTCCCAGGCTCGACAATTTGCTGGAACGGCTCTCAGAACTTGGGGAAACACTTCACTTACGTTTACCGGTTTGTTATAAAGGAACAGCCCGATGGAAGAGGTGCACCGCCAGGGGGTAGGGGGAGGGGCAGGGAGCGTCCACACCTCCCTGGACCCAACGCCCTCCCAGCACCTGGGAGTCCATCTGGGAGGTGGGTGGGTGGGGCTGAGAGCTCCGGCCCTCTCGCCGCCAGGGGTTCTGGGGGTCAGCCCCATCCTGAGGTGATCTGGGGCCCCCACCTGTGTCAGCTCAGAACAAACTCAGGAGTGGTTGACAGGGGCTCATGGTGAATCATAAAAGCCACCCCACCACTCGGGAGACCCCAGGGCTCCAGGAGCTGTGCCAGGGAGCTGGACAAAGAGCACATCTTTCTGTTCTTTCCACGCCTCCCCCTGGCTGTGGTCCCAGGTGGGAAAGCACCACACACCACGTACATTATCGCACTCACTCCTAGGCACAGGCTAGTTTCTCCTCCCCCTGAGGGCCTGGGCACCTCGCTAGGTGCTGGGCAATTTGGGGGTGACCTGGGGAGCACTTCTAAGATGTCAGACCCGGCCTAGGAGAACAATATCTGAACCCCCTAGATGCCCACGGCACCCTGAGCTCCATCTCCACACACATCCTGGGTGACTTGTGGTTTTGAAATCGACCACTATAGAGGGAAGAGCATGAATTCATTTTCGTGACTTTTTTTTTTTTTAGAGAGAGAGAGAAAGACAGAAAAAAGCCAGCCTGAACTTTAGAATCCACGGGCCCAGCTTGAACCCTGGCTGCATTCGCTGCGGGGTGTCGTTTCCATTTCCCGTGTGACAGGGGGGCACGATGCCTGCTAACGGGGTCGTTTTGTGAATCCAACGAGCTGGGGCATAGGTTCCGCACGGCCCCCCGACCGGGACCGGAGGCTGCGCCTGTGTTACCTCCTCCTCCTGGGAGCGCAGGCCACGGACACCTCTCAGGGCCTCGCCCTGCTCACCGGGTGGCTCCTGGCTGAGGGGGCAGGGGCCCCAGCTCCAGGCAGTGATAACAGCTCTTTCTTCAAAGGCCGCGAGGCCCTGCCGGCCTCTTCCTCCAGGTGGCAGGAAGATGGCAGCTTAGTCACAACCCTTGGAGCCTGGACACCTCCTCGAGAGGGCAGGCCCAGGGGCGCCTCCCTTCCTTCCTCATTTCGGTTCACTGCACCCTCTTCACGTGGCTACAGACTCCTGCCCAGGGTGTGCAGAGGACCAGACCTCATGGACCCTGTAGCAAGGATGTCAAACTCGCGGCTGGCGGGCCGCATGCCCTGGTGGCCGGCTGCGAGTTTGACATGCTTGCTAGGGCTCAGCCGAGACCTGCCGCGTAGTAACTGCTTCAGACGTGGTCACGTGTGTTCACCTCCTGCTGCTCTGGATAGGAGCTCTGGCATCTCCCCCGCAGCCCCTGCTCCCCCACTCCTTCCTACAGGGGCTGCCCCAGCCCTCGGGTTCCCCCATACAACAGTCCCTGAAAACAGAACCAGAGCACCTACTGGGTGTGGGGCAGCGTGCTGTCTCTATCCCATTCCCCCTCCAGCATCTCTCTCATGAGCATTATTCCCACACGGAGTTGAGACTCAGAAAGATGAAGTAACCAGCTCAAGTGCTGGGCTCTGCGACTGCCATCATTCATTCTTTCACTCATTCATCAAAGCACCTGGAATGTGCCAAGCCTTCCACTAAGGTGAGAACGTCTCAGCACAGGAAAGGCCTGTCTCCCGCAGAGACTGACACGTCATCGTTCACAAAGGGCAGGACCTCTGAGGCTTTGCCTTGTGGGCCTGGAGGGACACACTAGGTCAGTGGTCGGCAAACTGCGGCCCCTTGAGTGTGGCTCTTCCACAAAATACCACATACAGTGCGACTGAAACTTCGTGGCCACACTCAAGGGGCCAAAGAGCTGCATGTGGCTCATGAGCCGCAGTTTGCCAACCACTGCGCTAGGTCATCGGAATTATTGCAGGATGTGCGTAGCAGCCCTTGGAGCTTTATCTAATTACTAGAGGCCCAGTGCATGAAATTCATGCACCGGTGGGGTCCCTAGCGGCTGCCAGCTGCCATCCGGGACCTTCCTTCGTTCCGCGCTGCCCCATGGTGGTCAGCACAGTCATAGCAAGTGATCGAACTCCCGGTTGGTGGAACTCCAGAGGGGACACTTTGCATATTAGGCTTTTATATATACAGATTTTTGTTGTTGTTAATCCTCAGCCAAGGATATTTTTCCCATTGATTTTTAGAGAGAGTAGAAGGGAGGGAGGGCGGGGGGGGGGGAGAGAGAGAGAGAAAGAGAGAGAGAGAGGGAGAGAGAGAGAGAGAGAGAGAGAGAGAGAGAAAGAGAGAAACATTGATATGAAAGAGATATCTATTGGTTGCCTCCCACACATGCCAGACTCGGGGGCTGGGGATCAAACTTGCAACCCAGGTATGTGCAACCACGACTGGGAATCGGTGCGTGGACCAATGCTCTAACCACTGAGCACCCCCGCCAGGGCGCTTTATCTATTTTGCATCTCCACTCTGCCATTTAACAGCTGTGTGACCTGGAGCAAGTTACTCCTCTCAGTCTTAGTTTTCTCATCTATAAAATGGGAATAACCAGAGCATGGCCTCGTGTATTGTTTGCAAGATTGACAAGGATGTCGGTTGTCAGAGCTCAGTGCTGGGCACCAGGAAAGCTCTCAGCAGGCAGCAGCTCTTAGCAGCTGTCAGTACCAGCACCAGCGTTTCTGCCCATCGGGGCCCCGGAGGGTCCTGGCAGGTGGCAGGTGGCAGGTGGTGTTCTGGGCAAGGATGGCGTCTTTGAAGGAGGGAGAAGTGGGCCTGGAGCTCCGGATCCCGAGACGTCCTACCCAGCCTCTAGCCAGTTTTAGCCAAGACACGGTAGCTTAAGCCAGCGGCTTCTGACACCCAAACGTATTTTTAAATTCTTGTTGACCTGCAACCAGTTCTGAATAAATAGAGCAGCTCTGAGGGTGGTTACCAGACACCCGCTCCACCCTGCAGCTGCTCAACAATCACAAGCTCCCTCCCGCGGAGGGCACCAGCCCTTCCTGCCGCCCCTACAGGAAGTTCTTCTTCTAACCCTAACGGGGTGCACCAGGTCCACCCAGGACCCCCAGCTGCCCTGGAGGCCGGAACAGGGGATGCTAAGGTGACAGGCAGTGAGCCGGGGAGCAGGTGGTGGTGAGGAGGGGTCCTTACTGGCAGATCTAAGGAAGCACCACCCTCCAGGGTTACCAGGGCAAAGCCGGGGACTGTCCCCCTCCTCTGCATCCTGTGGGCTGCACCCTTCCCTCTGGGGGCTTCCCTGGGACTCCCCGCCCTCACCCAGCGTTGCATGGCCATCTGTTGCCACCAGACGCCCTCCCGTGGGGCCAGGGGTACTCACCTACTGACACAGTAGAACGCGATCAGTCTGAAGATGTCCTCAAACACAAGAACCGAGCCTTCCAGGTACAATACTGAGGAGAGATGACAGAGGCCCGGATGAGTGTCCCGGTCAGAGGGAGGGAGGGTCCTGGGGGCGGGGAGGTGTCTTTCGAGTTCATTATTGCAGGGCCTGGCCTGCTGGGGCCACATGTTCATTGGCTGCCCTCGGGACCACAGGGGAGTGAGAAAGGAACTTCTGTGGCAGCAATGTTCAACCTTTCTCATCTCCCGGCATACAGACTAATTACAGAAATTCTGCAGCACACCGAAAGTATGTATTTTTTTGCCTATCTGACAAACAAAAGGTATGCGATGGATTCCTTCACACCAGACGGCTATTGTTGTATTGGCTGTTGTCATTTTTTGATTTGTCAAACTAGGGGGGGAAAGAAGTCGGTGCCCCTGACTAAACAGTCAGGTATTGCGTGTCTTAAAAATTCTTGCAGCACACCAGTTGAAAATCACTGTTCTATGGTGTTAATCCACTGAGATTTGGGGTGGTGATTACCTGAACGAATACACATCATTTTGGGCACAATAACACAGAAGCCTCCAGAATGAAAGCAGAGTGAAACGTTTAACTGATCAGGGTCATCTCAACCTGGCAATTCTGAGGGCGGAGGGGACAGCGGGAGAAAGCCGTCCAGTTCTGTGTTGGCCTCCGGGAGGTTCATCGGTCCAGGGCGCTGACCTGGGGCCACTGGCCTTCCACCCAAGAGGACCTGGTAGGACCTCACTTGACATGCCTGATGTTTTCCAGCTCTGACAAGGGAGAGGGACCAAGGCATTTGCCCAAGATCCCACCCCAGGGTGGGTGTGGCTCCTTGGAGAGATTGGGTGCCAGGATGTGGCATGAGTGCCCAAAGCTGGGGGTGCAGTGACCAGAGGATGTGGCACAATGCCACACCCTGCTTTGGACGGCAGGCAAGGGCCCCGGGACGCTGAGTGGATGCTCCCCAGCGCTCTTGGCGCCCTCCACACCCACGACTCCTGACTCTCACTCAGGACTCATTTGCCCAACAGAGGGGCTCCCTGTGCTGGGGACCCCCCACTGCACTGTCTAGGGCATCAGAAGGGACGAGAAACATGTGTGCATCACCCCTCACTGCCAATTTCCTGAGGGCCTTCCAGCAGCTGTGTGATGGAGGGAAGGCAGGTCCCGGTCCCAGGCCGGGCTCTGACCCTGGGACCAACAGGGTGACTCTGGGTACGTCCCTTCCCTTCCCAGCACTGCAGTTCTTCCACCCTCTGACCCTGAACCCCCTGTGCATCCAGGTGACACTGGCCGGCGGCCCGTTTTCATAGCCTAGGACAGCGTTCCTTGCACTGGTGGTCTGCGAGGTGGTTCTGGGTGACACATGGACCAACACGGGCTGTTCTAATAGCTTCAGCTTTATATTTGCCTTCTTCCCATGTTCTAAACAGTTAACATGCTTTTTAAAAAACGTTTGCATTCATCATCTATTTATGGCAAAGAGGTTATGGTTTCCCATTAGGACAGACATAAGAAGGTTAAAAGGAAGTTTAAAGAAAGACATGCAGGAGGTGATAGCATGGGAGGTGCTCTGAAGACGCCTACAAATGACTGGAGTCTGAGAAATACTCCATGGAGCCGGCACCCTCTGTGAAGTGATGGGGCGGGGCAGCCCACAGCGCCATCTGGTGCTGGCATTGGGTACTTTGCCTACTCGCTGCAGCGCTGGCCAAGGGAGCCCGGTGCCCAAAGACCTGCAGCCACAAGAGCTAGAAACCATTCCACCTGTAAAAGGAGACCATGAAGCAGGAGCCCCTCACAGCAGGGGGTGGTGGTGACGCATGCAGAAAGCCCCGCCTCCTACGCAGCTTTCCTTCGCTGTGGGGACCTGGTCTGACCTTGGCCGACACAGATGAAACCTTTGAGACGAAGCAGGCACCCCCTCTCGGGCCTGCTGGCACTGTACATAAAGCCGCACTTCTTTCAGACGTCTTCCCGACCGTCTGCGTGCTGGCCAGGTCCTCGAGGGCAGGGACAGGGCGCAATCACTTTTGTAGCGGAGGACAGAGCACCAGTCGCCTTCCTACTGTTAAAGCTGTCGAGTTTCAAAATCACAAGCAAGGGTCAAGGCTCTCGTTTGTTTCCTGTGACCTCTTCTGCCCCAGCTCCAGCCCCAGCCAGCTGCCCACGTCGGCCCGGTCCTGACGGTGGGAACTGCTTCCCCTCACCCCGAGGCCCCCGGGAGCCCCTGCGCGCCAGGGCCAGGCTGGGCCCCAGGGTGAGCCTCTCCCAGCTTCCAGCAGAGTCGCCTGAAATGGGTAAACTTATGGTACAGGATGCATGACAGGAATACGTCTCAATAAAGCCATTATTAAACCAAGAAAAACGCTCGCCGGGTGGACAATTTCACTGCCCGCAGTAAGGTTTTCTAGGATTTTTATAATGAGCATCTATGAGTTCTGTAAGCAGAGAAACTGCCAGGATTCTCGACCTGTTTCTCTAATTTCCTAGAGCCAACTGGCTTCCGGCGTCCTCTCAGCTCCTGCTGCTATAGAACCGCTCACAGCCCTGCAGGGCACAGCTGACAGGCCCATCCACCCACTATGTACCCCTAACACACGCCCCTGCCCCCCAGCCAGCTTCTAAAGAGCCTTGGGCGCGTCCAGCACCCACTCTGCCCTGGGCAGCAGCTCATGCAGGGACCCGGCCAGCGGCTCCTCCCAGTAAAGATGCCAGTGCTGGTGGCCACCTTTGAAAAGCACGGGCAGCAACCCCTCCACTGTGTGCAGCCCCAGGGTCCCTCAGTGGAAACCCTGGTGGGAACACGCCAGACCCTCTCTAGCCATTTCTCTTTCAAAGGGTGAGGAGAGAATGGGTACCAGCCAGCAGCACCCAGCGTGTCCCGAGGTGACCACAGGCGACAACAGCAGAACTCTGCTTCCGCTTAGAGGAAAGGAAAGCTTTCATCTATGACTCCCCGGTCAAGGCTGAGTGGGGACAGGGTGCAGATGCCAGGCCCACGCACGCTGGAATGGCTCCCAGCATTCACAACCCCAGTTGAATGAGATATGCACAGCCTGACTGGCGTGGCTCAGTGGCTGAGTGTTGACCTATGAACCAGGAGGTCATGGTTCAATTTCTGCTCAGGGCATATGCCTGGGTTGTGGGCTCGGCCCCCAATGGAGGGCATGCAGGAGGCAGCCAATCAATGATTCTCTCTCATCATTGATGTTTTATCTCTCTCTCCCTCTCCCTTTCTCTCGGAAATCAATAAAAATATATTTAGAAAAAGAGAGATATCCACATAGAATGGAAAGCTAGTAGATCTTTAAAAAAAAGGGGGGGGGGAAATTCCATTTAATCACTCAATCGTCCAAATGAACTGCCAAGGACAGGAGCTGCGTGTGTATCTTCTGTTCCTCACGGTTGCCCAGACCCAGGCACGGTGCTGAGCATGGTGCCGGCTCTCCGATGCTTATTTAATGATTTATTTACAAAGTCTTTTATTTGAAAATACTTAGAAGAGTCATAAGAAGCTGCAGAGATGTACAGGGAGGTCCTGGGCACCCTTCACCCAATTTTACATGGGTGCATGTGTGTGTGCGTGTGTGTGCGTGTGCGTGTGCGTGCTGGTACCGTGCTATGAATTGCATCCCGTGTGTAGCTGTCTGAAATCACCACCACAACCGAGATATGTCACTGTACCATCACTGCAGGGCTCCCTGTGCTCCCCGCTTAGAGCCACAGACACTCTCCGCTCACCCCGGACCCCCGGCAACCTCCAATCTGTTCTCCATCTCTATGGTGATGTTATTTCACGAATGTCTTAGAAGTGGAGTCACACAGTATCCAGCCTTGACACTGGCTTTCTTCACTCAGCATGAGTTCCTCGAGGGTCCTCCAGGTCGCTGGCTGAACCCATCGCCCGTTCCTCTTTAGTGCTGAGTCAGCGCCCATGGTTTGGATGGAGCATTCTTTGCTTGACTAGTCACCCGCTGAAGGACATCTGGGGAGTTTCCAGTTTTGAGTTATTATGCACAGAGCTTCTATGGACATTTGTGTACAAGTGTCTGCATGAAAATATGCTTTCTGGGCGACATCTGTAATACTGTCAGTAATAAAAAATATATTTAAAAAGGAAATAGACTTTCCTTTCTCTGGGATCTATGCCCAGGAGTGCTATTGCTAGGTCATACGGTAAGTCCATCAAAGGAACCGCCAGACTGCTCTCCTGAGTGGCCGGCAATGCACGCAGGGTCCAGCGTCTCCCGTGCCTGCGGATTCGTTGTCGCTGTTCTTTATTGTAGCCATTCCAGTCGGTGTAGAGTGGCATCTCAAGATGGTTTTGATTTGCATTTCTCTGATTTGGATTTTTGGAAACAAAGATGTTGACCTTCTTTTCATGTGGTTATTTGTTATCTGTATATCTACCCTCTGGTGAAGTGTCTATATATATCGTTTGCCAATTTTCTAATTGGGTATTTTTTTAATGTTGAGGTTTTTTTAAAATCACTTCATTAAGATATTCACATACCATACAATTCACCAATTTAAAGTGCACAATCAATAATCAATGGTCTTACCATATTCACAGAGTTGTGCAACCATCACCACAATCAATTGTAGAACACGTTCACCATCCCAAAAGGAAACCCTGGATGTGTGTGTCCTCGGCTTAGTCATTTTATTTATCTTTTTGTGCTTCGATTTTCTCATCTTTAAATGGTGACAACAATCGTATTTTCATCATAGGTTCTTGTTGAGGCAAATTAATGGAAAGCATTTAACCTAGTATATAGTTGAATCCACTTTTTGACAACTAGTCAAAAAGTGGATGAAATCTGTATACAAGTTTTTATGTAGGCATATGTTTTCATTTCTCTTGGATATATATTAGGAGAGGCATTGCTGGGTCATCTGGCAACTACATGTTTAAGAACGACCAAACTGGAGGACCTCAACAGCATAAAAATGGAAAAGAACCAGTTGGAAATGAAGGATACACCAACTGAAATAAAGAATAATTTACAGGTAATCAGCAGTAGAGTAGGTGAAGCC